ATATATATATAATCATCTATGTTTTTTTATACAGAAAGTCTTGTTATGTACATATAAGTGATGCATTCCTAATGATTTTGTGTTAAAAGCCCCAACTTACATTTTTCCAATGTCTGACTACATTCATCCAAAGGATAAAGGCTATCATATTCATGCAACCAAATGAGCCCCAGATTTTCAATGAAATAAAATAAAATAAAATAAAATAATGTGTGCTGTGAGAAACGATATGCCTGCCAAACAGAGCAGCCAGTAGAGTGGAGCCAGTCCAAGAATCGAATGGCCTCGTCCCCAAAATCTCCGATCCCGTACGATCCGCGTAACGAGGTCGGATGAAGCAGCACGCCGGCCCTCCTCCGCACGCCAGGTTCCGCGGACGGGAACTGCGATCCGTAATTCTCCGGCAAGTCATCTCCCGCAGAGAAGGAAATGGCATCACACATGGCAGCGCATCCTCCACTCCTCGCCGGAGAAGAGAAGGTGAATTTGCCTGTTCTCAACCGTAGCGAGGAGGTGGAGTCGCGGCGGGTCGTGGCGGCGCTGGCAGTGAAGGATAGAGCTTGGATGTTGGAAGAGAGGAAGAGAAGTCGGTATAGGGCCATCGGACTGTGGATTAGGAGTCGAGCGAAAGCGTGAACTCGTGAAGTGCAGAGCAGCGACAGGAGGAATGGCCAGTTGTGCAGAGAAGATAAGACAGGATCAATCTCGCTACTATCTCAAATAATAATTTATTTTTTTTTTATCAAAGTTTATGTTATATGAAAAAAACAAATTTACGGAACTTCATCCTCACCTCCTTAATCCTTATGGCCCCGATAACATATTAATCTACGTTATTTGGTTAATTTTTTAAAGAAAATATTGTGTTTGAAGTTTGATTCGATATGGTTTGTTCAAATAAACATTTTTAATTATTTAAATTTCACTTTTTTTCAACAGTATTTTAAATAAATATTTTGAAGAACATAAATTCAAAACTACGGAGCATACCATACTGCTTAGGATTTCAAGGCAAAATTGCAAATCAAAAGTATGTTAAATAATGTCCAACATAATTCCCTAAAAAAAAAAGTCAAATATAATATATTATCATCCTACCTCATGATATTCTTTTTCTGTAAGTAATTTGCACACTTCAAATGCACATTTTGAGATTATATACTTTATTTTCAATCAATGAGTTGCACATTCCAGCACATACTCGCATTCAAACACATCAGATATTGAATTGAAACGAATCAAGCAAGGTGCTCCATAGGTTCCAATAAAGCCAAAGATTTTATTTCTAACGATACCAAATGGTTTTGATTTCCAACATAAAAAAAAAAAAAAACAAAAAAAAAACAAAAACAAAAATGGAGAAAACGGGAGGGAGACGTAATTCCTTAAATTTACAACTCAAATTTACACAGATTAAATGGCCTAAGCCCTACAAAATTCACCTCCCCATTTCATTCACTAACCATAGCCGTAGGGCTCTCTCATACATATCATTTACATCAAATTATACACACTATACTTGGCGGAAGCCACTAATCCTCTACCTCAGCAGCCACTATGTTGGTAAAATCCTAATTTTCAAGGGAAAAAAAAAAGAAGAAAACTAAAGGTATAGCTCCCCCGCATAGCATAGCGCAAACAAAATCAATTGCCAGAGCCATAATTGCAATCTTTGAGCAGAACAGAGAATCAAACAATTAATCTCCTGAAATCTGATTAGCTTTCTGGCCAATCTTAACCACCTTTGTGACCGTCGCATTGCAAAAGAAGCACCTCTGGCTATTCAGCAGGTGCCTGGTGATACAGCCAAGGCAGGAAAAGTGGCGGGAGGGGGCGACATGAGGCTCAAAAACCCGCATAGCAGATGCAACAGCCGCTATCATCTTCATTTTCATCAGCTTTGATGGCCATCTCAACAGCTCCTTCCAATGCCACTATTCTGCTCCTTAAGTAATTGGCGAACTCCTTAAGCTGTGCTAGTTTAGCAAGAGAGGCTTCCCCTCTCAGCACGTTTCCCTGGAACAAAACAGCGTTAAGTAAGACATTACAGCGACTACCTCTATCACTACACATTTCTCATAAACATTTCCAAGGAAGCATCTCAAAATATACTCCACTAATCTCAAAATAAATCCAATAGATTTGAAACCCATCCTATGGGATCGGATGTGCAATAAAAACAACTTCAATTCTAGCAAAAAAGCACAACAATTAGAAGATTCACGAAAGCCAATTAAAACTTCCAAATCTGCCAAGGCCAAAAATTAGAACTAACCCAATTATAACTAAGCAGGTACTGGAATCCACAATGTACTGTTAGAGGGCAGTCCATGCTTGCAAAGACTTCAATAATATCAATCGTCTCTCCATGTTTTGACTTTGTTGTTGCATCCATTAGATTTAGGATAATCCCAACAAGAGGAGCCATTATCATAGACCGACTTGTCTTCTCGTGATATTGACCAGGTCGTCTAAGAGAGCTGGATTACAAAAAAACAATCAAACAGCACATCAGTGATAAACAAAAGGAGTATAAGCACACAAGCCATTAAATCATGTTATAGGCTGTTGGCCATGTTATAGGCCAATGATCTCATATGGTACAAAAAAAACCACGACGGAAATTGAATTGCTAAAAATGCAGTTACGGCCACAAAAACATGCTCCAGCTTTTCACCGCTGGTAGTCTTATGCCAGCTATTTGCATTAAGCCTTGCAATATTCTGCTTAGCCTCAATTCCTATCAAATGTTAAGTTGGCTTCAAAAACCGTTACTCATACAACTGCACATAAGAGTATTTCTGTCTTTTGTTGACAAACAACTACAGAATAGCAGATTTACAACTGCATTTTCCAAACAAAAATACTCCTTTGTGACAGAAGCTGCCTTTTCAGACAGCAGCTTCACAGCTATTTTTTCAGACAGCTGCAACTGCCCACCCTTAATATGCTATTTAAAACCACTGGTCAGAACTCTTTTAAGTCAAAATTCAGGGAAAAAAAAAAAAGATTGATTGCAGAAAATGAAAGAGATGAAACATACTTGTCAAAAAATTCGGTATCTGCAACTGAAATCATATAGTTCAAGATAAAAATGATCAACTCCGTTAGCCTTCTAAGATTCATATCAGGTCCTTGAATAAATGCTTGAGGAATTTCCCTGGTATAGAACTCCAACACTCTCACAAGATTGCAAGAGAGTTCAAAAACTACGGTGCATTTTCTCTGCTGCAAGTCTCCAATCTGGAAAAGAATAAATTCATGCACAAAATAAATGAGAAAAAATAGGAGTGACGGGTAAACTGCAAAGTAAACTTAAAAGTGGCATCCTGATAGCTATGAACAAACCGGAAAAGAAACAATCGCAAAAAAAAATACCATGTTTATCAAGGTAAAAAAAAAAAAAGAGTGAAAGAGTGAAATTCCTTCTGAGTTCCTCTGAGTTCCCAACCCATCGTCCCCGAGTGTCCACATTTCCAATATTTGAAATAAAAGCATTGAAAGGCATAGAAGAAGTATGGATTTTGTGAATTAATTGCAACTTACATCTATGGGTTGAAAGCATTTATGTACATATACATCGGACCCTAATTGATTGAAATATTTCTGTGAAATGTAAGAAAACAAATTTGTAAACCATAAGGGAGCAGTAGGGTTTTTGGGACCATATAAGGGAGTTGTTGCTTGCGACAAAAAATATAAACCTAAAGGTAAATTTTAGCTAAATCACCAGCCTTAATGTTAGAATACATGGCAGCGGCTAAACAAAGTTGGGAAACCTACTGCTCTCAAGCTTAGACTTTTACCAAGGGACTGCTTCAGAAAATAGATGCAGAAAAAAAAAAAAAAAAACCTGATAGCTTTCTTGCATCTCCCGAATCGAAACAGAAAATTCTGTCATAGTCCAACTAAGGGTGTTGAAAAGTCGATTGAGGAATGAGAAAAATAATACTTCATCACAGACACATATCTCTCGAAGCAACACCTTCAAGAAACAATGAAATCAAAACAAATCAACAAATAAGACAATGAAAACAAAGACTAGTCAAAAAAGTACACTATCAACTCCTACTTGCCTGGAAAAGAACTGAAGATGATGACCCCGCATGCTTTGAGGAACCAAATCCAGAACCCTTACACAGCCGAAGAAGTATATTTGTTACAGGAATCCAAGATCTGCTATCAAAAGCTAAAAGCAATGCTCTTGGCATACTAGTCACAGCTTCTTTGTTAGACTCAAAGGCAAGCATGTAGTCGTTGCACTGTACTAACACCGATATGGATTGAAGCAGAAGGTCTTTTACATCAGCACTCAATATCCGTGGATCATTGAAGTGTTTGACAACAAAGGTAATCTAGAAATGGAACAAACAATATCAAGTCAATAATGTAGCTGAAAATACAGATGCGGATCAAACTATCAATTTAACAATTATGATACGATAATAAAATATGATAATCATGATAACTAGTAGTTTCTAAAAGAAAGAAATCTATTAATTGTCAATTATTTGAAGCATCTCTTAGACACAGAGTGTGACAAAAAATATAGGAAAATTGTTGGAAGCCAAAAATCTACAATTAAAACAGCTTCCATGGGAGATCAGCAAATGTGAATTACGAGAGATACGAAGAGAGATCACAATCAGATGGCTTACCTTTCAGAGAGACTTCAATTGAACGAAGCAAATGATATAAATAATGAAAAGCAAATTCCAACCAGAAGCACAACCGTTATTTAAAAAAAAAAACAAAATAAATAATGAAACCTGAAATTTAAGGTAATGGAAGCCTAGCATTGCATACATCCAAAGGAGTATAGGACAATCAATGTGAGTCTATTAAGCGGCAATCATCCATTTAAGATTTCTAAGAAAATCCATGTCAAGGGTTGTAAACTATTAGTATATTCAACCAACCCAAAAAAAAAAGCATGAAATGATATCATTCTACATCAAAGTCATGCGTTACAAGCTATGTTAGAGCAACTAAAGGTACAATTATGAAAAAAAAAAAAATTTTTTAGACTTACGAAAGAAGTGAGACCTTGCTTGATAAAAATTCCAGGAGAAACATATGGAGGATCACTCTTTCTCAGTGCATGAAAGCAATCAACCTGCAAATGTTATTCAGCATTTTTATCAAAAACAGAAGAGTTGAATGTCAAGCAAGCATGGAAAGCTGAATAATGTGAGACCCTTTTGGATAAAAAGAGAACGTTAATGTTTGCTATGAAAAAAAAAATGAAGAAATAGTCTAATTCAAGACTCCATTCTTCTCTCAACGCTTACCACTCTGTACAAACAAAAGCATAGGCTAAAATTCTCCACCTTCAATTCTAAAGAAGGAACTAAAAAACAGTATAAAAAGGAATATAGAAACTAAATAAAAAGTGAAACAATAAGAAAAAATGCATGCGAACTATTCTGTACCAGTGATTCTATGTAAAATTCTGGAACACAAAGAAAGATTGATCCACTATTGCTGAGAACCAAAAGCATTTCCACGACCCACATGCAAGTTGCATACATTCCCCTTTGCTTCCACCGAGAAAAAAGAGAAATTCGATACCTAAGAAAAGAAAATTGGTAAAACCAGCTAGTGAGAACAGCCTTATGCCATGTTGAGAAATAATAACACCAATACAACAAATGAATTATCTTTATCATAGATAATTGATCTAAACAATAAAGTTAAGCAACACCATTAGGGAAAATTGCCAACAAAACAAGTAAATATGGTAAATCAGTTGAATCAAGTTATAAGACTCTAATCTCCTTTCTTCGTAACCTCAAGATGGTTCTTTGCATGTCAAGAGAAAGCCAAATTATCACCTGAATATTCATAAAAATGAATAACAAAGAAGCAAAAATAGAAAATAGCCTAACTGCTACTAATGGTTCATGGTTTCAAAAGGAATCGGAAAAGACAAATTTAGTAGAACGTTTGTTAGTTATATTGTTTCTTCCAACAACATCATCGGCACAGTGAACAACCTTAATAGCCTTAAGACGTTTTAATGGTGGAAACATTCCGATTCATAACTGTTTTACTTTTCAGTTGAACTAATTTTATTTTGTTGGTGGCACTTAATTTATTTGTGTTACTTTTGTGGAGCCAAAAAACCAAATGTCCAAGCTCTAGACCGAGCACCTGGCGCCTAAGCGCGGGCTTGGGCGCTCAAGCGCCCACCTTGTTGGGTACAAACCAAGAAGCGGGGTGCTTAAGCGCCCCCATACTGGTGCACAAACAAAGAAGCCGGTGCTCAAGCGCCCAATGTGTTGGGCACAATCTAGGCTTTGGGCGCCTAGGAGCCAAAGCGCTCAGAGAAGTTAGCTCGTATTTTCAGTTTAAGGCCAATTTTGAGCAACGATAGTGATGGTTCCTGCACAAGTTTCTTTGACAAGATCCTTGTGAATAAGTGAAAGGTCAAAGAGGAGGATTTATGGGATTTTGGCGTGTTTTTCATGTCGGATCGAAGCAAGAAAGAATTGAAGCGCGAATCCTGTAAGTTTTCTTGTGTGTAAAGAGGAAACTTGTGTGAATTCTCTGTAAAACTATCTTATTTACATAATAAATTTTTTTGTGGTGTGACTCTGTGGTTTGCTCGTTCTCAGGTTTTTCCATGTATAATTCTTGCATGCTTTTCTGGTTGCTTTGATTGTTCTTACAACTTAATTTTATTTCAGTTTTCTCGAATTGGTATCATCCTGTTATTCCGCGGTGTGGTTTAGTTTTTAGTCGATCCTAAACCAGGCAAAGTTTGGGAATTGTTGTTTGGAATTTCCTATCAAACTTGTATCAGAGCGGGATTCGATCAGAATGGGAGCAATGAACAAAGAAGCAAAGTTCAAAGTGGAGAGTTCAATGGGACGAACTTCATTTTCTAGAAGATGCAGGAGGAGGATTTGTTGTATCAGAAAAAAACTATATTTATAACTACAAGGAATCGCAAGGAAGCTTGAGTCTATGAATGGGAAATGTTGGATCGAACGACACTAGGTTTAATCAAATTATCAATTTTCTCATCTGTTGCGTTCAATATTGTGAATGAGAAAACTATGATAGATCTCATGGCGGCACTGACCAAGATGTATGGAAAACCTTCTACTTCCAATAAAAAACTTTTGATTAAGAAATTATTTAATATGAAGATGGTGAAGGATAGTTTAGGGCAGAGCATCTTAATAACTTTAATACTGTGATGAGTAAGTTGTGTTATGTGGAGATCAAGTTTGTTGAAGAGGTCAGAGCACATGTGATATCATCTTCATTGTCGGACAACTTGGATGGTTTGGTAGCGACAATGAGTAATTCTTCAGGGACTTCAAAGTTGAACTTCGATAATATCGTGGGTCTGATGCTGAATGAAGAAGTTTGCATAAAAGCTACAAATGGTGAATCTCCAGGTTCTACGTTAAATGTTGATAACATGATAAGGAATCTGGGTAAGAATACAAGTAGAAACAGATACAAGTCTAAGAAGGGAAAGCCCAAGTCAAGCAAAGGAGAATGTTAGAACTGTGGTAAGAAGAGGTATTTCAAGAAGAACTGCAAAAGGAAAACTGATGGTGGATGAAAGGAAAGTAGTTACTCTATCAATGTCTCCACTGGCGAAATCCAAAGTAACTCCCCGGTATTATCCCTAGTTAGTACTGCATCCTGGATACTAGATTTAGGTGTCTTCTTTCATGCTTTTACGAATAAATAGATATTTAAAAACTACACTCAGAGTGATCTAGAGAATATTTATTTGAGAGATAACAAGAACTGCAGTATAATAGGAAATGGTGATGTTGATAACTGAATGTCAAATGAAGCAGTCTGGAAGTATACTGAAGCTAGACATGTTCTTAGTTTGAAGAGAAATATCATCTCTGTGAGCCAGCTGGCAAAGTCAGGACTCGTGACAACTTTCACAGGTGATTCGTAGAAAGTGTCTAGGGGGCATTAGTGATGAATCAGGGCAACATTGAAGACACTTTTTATTTGATTGATGAAATGGTTATTTCATTGATGTGGCTGGAACCAGGGTAGATCCAGATCTGTGACACCGTAGGTTTGGCCATATATGCAAGAAAGGTATGAAGTCCTTACTTTCAAAAAATAAACTTCAGGGTTTGAAATTAGTTGATCTGGATTTCTATGAATTACGTATATATTGCAAGCAAAAGAAAGTTTCTTTTTTGAAGAGCGGGTCAGTGGTAAAATCAAAGAAACTGGAGTTAGTGCATACTGACATATGGGGTCCTGCTCCAATTCAGTCTATTGAAGGTTCTCACTATTTTGTCAAGTTCATTGATGATCACATGAGAAAGATATGAGTTTGTTTTTTAAAGCAAAAAATCTAATGTATTTGATGTCTTTAAGAAGTGGAAGACAATGATAAAAAATGAGACAGGCTTGAAGCTGAAATGTCTCATATCAGATAATGGAGGCGAGTATTGTGATCAGAAGTTCAGAAATTTCTATGCTACAGAGAGGGTCAAGCACGAGTTAACTGTCCCAAGGCAACCATAACAGAATGGTGTGGCTGAGCGCATGAATAAAACAATCACAGAACGTGCTAAGAGCATAATAGTGCATGCAAACTTGCCAAGACAGTTTTGGGCTAAATCAACAAACACTGCAGTTTATCCGATCAACCGTAGTCCATCAATACCTTTGGAGGAAGGCTTACCTGAAAAAACAGTATATATATCTCATTTAAGAGTATTTGGGTGTTCTGCATATGTGCATATATTGATGCGGGATCCAGGAGCAAGCTCGACTCAAAATCTGGATAACTTATTTGTTAGTGATAGAAACTACAATTAGATTAATTCCACTATTTAACCATTCGTATCCAACTTGGTAATTCCTAACTGCTAGGTCGGATAATAACTACGGATATCCTCTATGATTTTTTTTATATAAAATAAAGCTTTTGTTTGTGATAAAATATGTTCTGTACTTTTTATTGTGAATAAAATAGCATTTCATTTCATTTTTAAAGCCTTTTTTAAGACGTATGATGGTTGCTTATGTGAAGTTTTAATCATACTAAAAAATGTTATAAAATTATATCTTTAATTATATATAATTTCAACACAGCAAAATAAATAAAAAATAAAAAAATAAAAAACAAAAGATAATAAACACTAACAACATAAATATAGAATTATATAGAAATATATTTCACGCTCAAAGAAAAATTATTGACCCAAAAGAGCTCTAAATGTTCTCATGAAAATATTCCCCCCTTATATTAATCCAAAACAAATAGTAAAGCTGATGGAATGATCAAACCGATTCATCTATAATGTGTAGGGATTAAACTGAACACTGAAATTTCAAGGATTAAAAAAAAACACAAAAAGTCTAGAGAGCAGTTCTGATATTTACTCATACTTCTGAAACAACAAACAAATAAGAGAAAAAAAAGGAGGCCAGAGGAGAAAAAAACTATTTTTGTAATCAAAGACCAAAAGTAAAAAAATAATTGTTCAATCCAAGTGTGAGAATAATGTTGATAAGCAGTAGCATTACCAGGTACATTGTCTGACACAATCAACTAACTCTTCGTAATAACTTTTCCGAGCTTCTTTTAATTTCTTCAATTGTTCGATGCAAGCCTTTTCTCTAATTTGTTTGTCTGCGTCATCTAATAGAGATATTGAATGTGACTGGTGAGACATGTAGTAGAAGGCCTATAACAAAAGATTTCATCTCAGATTCTTGACATGGAAAAGGAAGCAAGATTGTGAACCCACAAAGCACAACAAACAACTACAGAGGAAAAACTGCTAAAGAAAAAGAGAAATAAATATTCACAAAATAAAGTCGAACAAAAATGTTGCCATCCGAATAAATTGTTCACTAATCATTAGCATTCACAGAGAGAAGCCCAAAAAACTTTAATCTAGAAGCTATTAATCAACAACAAGGTATTGAATTATAGTTCTGCTAACACCAGTAATAAGGATAGAAATGGGACGAGATCTGAGGGATAGAATACAATAGTTGTGCGGAAGGCATCCATGGAGTACCCACTACAGGAAGGGATTGAGGTAGGCAGACCAAGTGGGACTTGTGGAGAAATTGATTCCATGAGGGAAAGGCTATAACCTAAATAAATTCGAAGGACCTCATTTCCATTTTAAGAAGAGCATTTCTTACTTCATATATGAAAAGATGAGCTCACAAAAGAGCAGAGCAAGGCATAAGGAGTAAAGAGGGGGCCAGCTAGTTATATCCATTTGGTTTATAATCATCACATTTTAATGATTTCCACCATATTCTCATTACTTGTCAAAACCCTCATAATTCAAAAATACATCTGTTGTGTATCTCCACTTGGTTAATAGAATCAATTCTACAACATTTGCATTGTTTGCCTGAAACCATCACAATTTTTGCCCAAAGAAAATTATATCCGACTCGGATAAACCATTCAATAAACATCTTATTGTTAAACAAATATGTGAATTCATTAAACAGGATACATGCATTAAATTACGCTAAAAAAATTCCAACCTTGCCCACAAAGGCAAGTCAACAATTTGCATCATAATAAAAAAACTACCCATAGAAACTATTATTTCCGTGCTCCCTACACTACCACTCTTATCACAAAAAAGGTGTAATAATCGGTTAAAAATAAATAAATAAATAAAAATAATAATAATTTACTGTTAGGAGTGTCATTTGGAGGAGCTGTGTTGTTTGGGGGAAATTAAACGAGCAAGTGTCCTCTCGTTGGCATTTAAAGGCGAACAAGAGAGAAGCAGTGAGACGAATCGAAATGAGAGATAGAAGCAACGAAGGAGAAGAATCAGTGGTAAAGGAGAAGAGGAAGATTTACAAGTGAGAAGGAAGCCTGTGCCCTAGCCGTAAGTGAAGGAGAGGAGGCAGAGCATTCCTTCAGCTTCGACGAGGGGATGAGTGCTTGTGTGAAGAGGAACGACGCCGCAAGCAAGGCAAGAAGAAGAGAGAAAGAAGGAAAGTAGAGGCTTCAAGTTTGTGAAGAATTGGAGTCAGCGTCGAAGCAACTCTGGCATGCTCATTTGAGTGAAGGAGAAGAGGGGACTTACATGTGAGAAAGGTACAAGTGAGCCGCAAAGATGGAAGAGAGAAGGCGAGGACGCGGCTTGGTGCGTAGAGTGGAGAACCATCTCCGACCTAATCTTGTAGAGCAGCTTTCGTGAAAAGCATAATATTTCGGGTTCAAGTTGAGGTGAAGCTTTTGCGCGTAAGGAAATGCATGCCTTTGTCGAGCTGCAACCGAAGTTACAGAGGAAGAAAGAGGAGTTTTGTGCACGGGCAAAGAGAGCCAAATGATTGAAAAGGCAAATTTAGAGATTTTATTATAATCTAAAAAATGAATTTTATATAT